TAATATTTTAATCTATTGTTCTAATTGCACCTCCACAAACATTTAGATTCATTCATAAAATAATATTTAAATACACTAAATAATTTTAAAATTAAATTTTAATAGTAAAGTTAACATTTAATAAAAAGGTGTTTGTTAATAAATAAAATTCAAAATATAAATACTAAAAAAATATTATTATGTTAAGGCTATACATCTCTAAAGTGACGAATAAGCAATAAACGTGGTTTGGATAAAACCTCAAATAAATGGTCTAGGAAAATAATATTTAACATGTCTTAATTAATTAACTAATACAAATAAGGATTTTAGTAAAAGATGAAAAATAAAGATTTAAAAAAAACATTGTAAATAACAAGAAATATAAAATGAGAATGAKATCCAGAGTATCAAACCAGTTTTAATGAAAAATTGAGATGTTTTCAAAACAAAATGATGTATTAAATTAATACTAATATATAGGCTTAAATAAATTATAAAATTAGCAATTTTTTTTTAATTATTACTCAGCCAAAAATATTCATAACATTGTGCCCTGCATTTAAAACTAATTTTAATTATTATTTATTTACTTAATGYCAGATTTTTAAATTGAAACAAATAAACACATTTCGTTAATTAATAAAATGGAAAAACAATTTWMATGAATTAGTATTAGACTATACAAAACCTAAAAGAATTATAAGGACACAAAGGTTAAAATTAAAATGTTAGTTTTTATCAACTGATTCACAGTTATATAATATAATTTGTTAATTTATCATTTAACACTTAAGTAAAAATTCACAAGATAGAAAATTGAAGATGAACATAATATAYTAAATATGTTACTTATCAGTATTATGTTCCATTCTTTCCTCTAATAGACCCTGTAATCGTTTGGTTATAACAGGAGGAGAAGGAGTTTTTTGTTTTGCAATTGGCCCATCATGGTGGCCATCAGAAATATTTCTTTTCTTAGCAATTGCTCGCATCGTTATCATATTTATATTTTCTAGATCCTAAGAAGCAAAATCATATAATACATCAAATAACAATAAATAAATATAATATCATATCATAACCTAGTTATTAATTCTTTGTATATAATTGTTTTTTTTTTTTTTTTAATTAGGTAGAAAACCCTTATTTTCATTTGTTGATAATCAACTTTGAGAGAGGTTCTTGTGAATAATTGGATCAAGATTGTACCTAAGGGTATCAAAATTGAAATCTCGCAGTATTTTTTGAAATTATTAGGAAAAACAAACAAGTCTTAGAGTGTAGACTTTAAAATGTTCAACAAATGTTTACAGAATAATGCATTTCTAACTTTTTAAGACATGATGCAATGTTATTATTTTGACAATTTTTGAGCTGTTTATATAGATTTTCTAAATGACAAACATTAAACCCCTTAAAAAAGCATATTATTGTGAATATGGGGYATGTTAATGAAACTCATGTTAAACTATAACTATCCAAAGAGGCTTGACCAATTCGATCCACCAACAATTTATAATTAAAATTTATATTCATGTTATTTATAATGAATTTACTTACTTTTTTAGGACTCTGATTTATACAGTAACTCAATGGCCTGATTGGTGATTTTATTGGACTAGCTTGGGCTTCCAATTTACGAATGAATATTGGTAATCGATCATTGACTCGTCGTGTAGTAGGTGATTGCAACTGTGTCTTAGTAGCAGGTAAAGGAGATAGAGTGAGATTATCATTCTAATCAATAAAATAATGAATAAAAATATTTACTATTCTAAAAGTTTAAAGATCAAAATAAAAAAWCTGTTAACTTACACTGCTGTTACTTGAATATTTTAAAGCATTATCTCGAACTATTTGAACAAATATAGTGTTATAAAATTTAATAAGATCGATACGTTGTTCAGTATCTCGCCGTGCTCCTTCATTTTCTGTATGTTCTACAAACAAAATCAATTTATATTTTAACTGAATTAAACATATGTCTATTTAGTTTTAAAAATGTAAACAAAAAAAATTTAATTTGTAATGATGAWCAGAAAGACATGGAGTTACAATATTGAACTTGGTAGATTTGGGTATATAACTATTGGTGGCGCCGCRGAAACAATGCAAAAACAATTCCCGCAACGTCGTCGGTTAAAAAATTTWAAAAAAAAGGTATATAACTATTAAATACTAGTCGTTCTCACTCTCTTAACTATAAGAATTATATTCATAAGTTAAAAAATAATAGAGCAAAATGAATATTTAGATTACCTTGACTAGGATTGCGAGGAGTAATTAAAACACTTCTGTATATGTGTGACGCAGATTGTGGTTGAGTTCGATAACATTTCATGATTGCTTGAAAAGACAAATTTAAGTTGACCACCTAGAACAATTCATTAAAATGATAACCAATATTTACAGCAAAATAAATTTATCTTACTCGACAAATAATGTAAATGGTACACATCAATATCTGATCTAAATGTCTATCACGCATCATATCTGTATGCTCAATAATAACATGTTCAAAACATGTCCAAATCTTTCGCATTAAATCTTCATCATTTATACTCAATT